GAGCAACCCCTGAGACAAGGGTCATTAGAATTCATTATTTCTCCGTCTAATTGAATTACGGGCAGAATTCTGACTTTTGGCGATACTACATGTCAATTCTAATGAAGCAATACCTCCGAATGACGGGCCTTTTATCCTTTAATTAACGCTACACATGCACACTTCTTTTATACTAGAATGACAATAGGAAACTCTCAGTCAAAAACTTAACAAGAGCGTCCAAAATAAATTAGTCAAATTATAAAGTATAATAATAATTACAAAGTATAATGCTAACCTTATTTTAAGGTCAGATTTAAAATTATTATTATGACAAAATTCGCGCATATTTTATTGAATTTTATCTCCGATTTCGTGTATGAATATTTTATTGGAAATTAAGATCGGTTTATGATTAGATAGTGTCCATGTAATTACGGTGATTTCAGAACGGACTTTGACACTTTCTATTATCATTGCACTCAAGGCGACTACTGTAATATTAGAGTAATTTCAGTAGTTACAGTAATATTACAGTTAGTAGTTGACAGTCTAGCTACAAGGCTCTGTGTGACTCCCCCTCTACTTTATTAAACACTTTCTCACACAGTTGTTGATGTGCAAGGGCTTCTCTTGTCTAGTCCTTAGTCGAATGATTATTCACAAACGTTGATCGTGTTCAACAAAATGCAGTGAGATAAAATCACAACTTCCTCTGGGAATTCCTCCATATCAAGAGTGATTTTGCATTTTACAGAGCGATTTTCATCTTTGGGCGACGTTATTCTTCAACTTTTCAGCGTAATTTTTCACTTTTTTCTCGCTCTCCAGGGTGGAGTTCATCGTGTAAACTTACCAAATTATCTTTAAAGAAATAAAAAACAAATATATCTTTTAAGACAAAAATATGAGGCAATTACTGATGAGGCAATAACTTATGCGGAATTAACTTATGAGGCAATACATTTTACAATGCAAAACTCCCTTAAGTCGGGCAATGCGTCACACCAACGAGGCTTTCTCTGTCATGATGGCTTTATGAAATCACACGAAGGAATTCTACTTGGTACACCTTAATAAGAAGAACGTTGGCTCGCTAATTCTAACTTTATTCCACCGTGCGCTTACCCTTTGCATTCGTTTGACTTCACTTCTTAAAAGAGAGCTTCGTCTTCAGTAGACTGTAGTTTAACTAGACTCTGCACGCAGGGTATAGTGCGCTGTTTCGCAAGCCGTATTAATATTTGTATGAGGGGAAGGGTGTGGAGACGAGTTGGTGTACCTGAAGACCTATTGAGCATACATATTTTTAATTGGGTCACTTATAATGTGGTAAATATTTCATTTTTGCCCTTTTGATTCGTTTGACTCAAAAGGGAGTTTCGTATATAACTACACGTACTTGAATAAAATATGAATGAAACGGAACCAATTTTCATTCAATGTTGTGACTTGTTCCGTGTTTTTCTAATCATACTTCAGCGTGTTATACACTCGAACAGCACGCTTCCCTGTGCTTTCACTGGTTTCACCTGAGCGACTAGCACTTCGAGTGTCACTTAACACTTCAGTCTCGCCGTTGGTTTCTCACTCGGATGGTCCCTTGTAATTAGACGGGTGGTCAATTTACACCCGGGGTGTCTTCCCAGAAGCCCTCGTGTGGACAACATTGGTACAAGTGGTGATTTTGATCGAATAGGACCAAAGAATGCTGGGATAATCATCGAAACTCATGGAAACTTTCCAAAAGAAGATATTACATGGTAGATGCATGGCAACAATGATTACAATGTATATTAAATTAATTGTCATATTATTCGCCAAATTTAGCCAGCTTTTAATTAATTACAGAGGACTTGCATATTATACAGTTTTGAATATTCGAAGTGGGCGATAAAGGGATGTATAATTGAAAAATTACGCAGTGAGGCCTGGAAGGCCAATATGTTCTCAGTTCACGGTAAATTCAGCGTAAAATATGACCGTTGAGCTTCTTGTCGAAGCCGTGTATATTATATAAACAAAATTGTGAAAACTGATACTTCAATTCTTTGGCGTATGACAAAGAAAGTTAATTTCGATATAAGCGGGTTCAACCAACCGGATTAACGCTACAGCTCGGGGCACCAAGCAGAAAATGGTTTTGTTGAATTGAGCGACGTGGTCAATTTACCTCTGGTGTTAGAGTGTCCGATATCGAGTTGAAGGAGATCAAAAATGAGTTAAGCAGATTTGAGGGATTTCGTCTTTAACACCCCCAATCTGTTGTTTTGTCCTTTTAGTCCGTATATCAACATTTTGTATAAGAGTCGTGACCCTATATTTCACCTTTTAACCCTGAAATTAACTCAAAATATCGCATATACAAGTATACCATTTTGAGCAGCACAATTAACGATTTAAAATTCCCTAACTAGAAATGTATTTTTAATATTTCTCTGCCTGACTCATTTTCTCATTCAAAAGGTCAATTTTCTGATTCTCAGTCACTCCAAAATAATGTTTTTTCCAAAATCAATACAATAGTAAGTAATATGGCCATTTTGTGTTACATGCCCTCATATGGAATATGGCCATTTTATGCAATATGACCACTTATGGCAAATAGTCGTTGCGTGCAAAGTGCGAAAGGGTTTTGATAGGAGGGGGAGGGGACGAGCACCTAAAAAAATCCGAACCCAATAAAGCTAAATCCAACGCTTATCTAAATTTGCAAAACGACAAGTTAACTTTTGTTCAAATCACATAGTACCGATAGAAATGACGAAGTTTTGAAAATTGTCCTGCGAGAGTATGTACGCTCTGTTCTCGAGTCTGCCTTATCGACGACGCGCGCCAGTCTCCAACATCTGAGTCTCTCGGCACACTTATGACATGTTTTCCCCATATGGTGCACACGTATATCTTGTTAAAATATATCTCAAAACATTGTTTTATCTCTAAAAGCTTTCATACAAAATGACCATACAGATAAGTCTGAGACAGCCGTTGTCAGGGCACCATTTACATAATGTACATGGGATCTGAGACTAACTTTTATGTTAGTCTCAGATGGGATGAAATCAAGTTTTACATGTTTACTTAACATTTATTGAGGTTAATCATTAACCCTGTTTTACTACCGATATCTTTCTCATATTGTCATTTTGCTATTACTTTTTTCCTTAAACTTTACTCAATTTATTTAGTTATTGATAGAGAGCGAAAATATATCTAGTATCATAAACCAAAAAGCAATAGATGGCGTAGTAGGTAAATTGGCTATATAGCTTGAGCCAATAATGTGAGCCTTTTGTAAGGCCGTTCTTGTTAATCCTGTGTGTAAAATATATTGTAAAAAGCAAATAAATAAAACTATAACCTTAAAAATACTTATGTATGAAAAATGTAAATAATGGAGGTTGTATAAAATACAACTTTTTGTTGTTGTTTTATGTTTATATGTGTCAGCTGGGAGTTTAATAAAAACAACACGTGTAGTCGAGATAAAACTACTCGATTGCATTGAACATGTTACAGAAATAATGCTACACCATGGATTTTGTTCCCTTTTATATTAACTATACTTTTTTTCACCATTGTTCATTTAATAGATTAATTATTCATCTGAACTGACGAGAGGCATTCGTCCGCTTGAAATAGTTGTTTATAGCAGAAAGTATAGTCCGGGAAAATATTGTCCTTCTCGTTAGAATGATTTCATTGATCAAATCAGAGGTGGACGCTGATTTACATGGACATACTATAGTATAATACGAATATATTAATACTGCTCTTGATTTACTTTAGGGGACTTGTCGTTATTAAGATACATAAACGAGGGATGATCAATAACTAATGGACGCTCAATACTTATCAATCATCTCGCGTATGTCTGTTTTAACATCATCATTATCATATACGTTAAAAAACTATTGGGATGGAATATTTCAATCGTTGTCTGAAGAACTTCAATGAAACGTAGAATACATAGACGTATTAAGAAAGTATGTTCCGCCTTGAAGGAATTAGAATTAAATACAATTCAACATGAAATATAAAATACACACAAAATACTTAATAAATTCATTCATAAAATTGTTTTTATTCATTTTGGTAAAAAAGTATAAATAATCTATATGTAGCATATCTATGTTTACTATTATATACAATGTTTTACTATTATATACAATGTTTTACTATTATGTACAATAAATATTTGAACAGGTTTAGCAGGTTGTGACATTGTGTAAGAAAATACAAAGTTAGCAGTTAGTTATTCAGCAATCTGTAATATAAGAATAAAAGTAAAAAATGTTTCTATCTTAAGAGTTATGAACACATTTTATCTCTAATATATTCTGTTTTAATCATGAGTCTCAAAATTAAAAAAAATCAAAATTTTGTGAGAACTTTATGATCGCCCCTCGTATCCTCCATTGAAACATATCAAAGAATTTCTCTTGCACTGGAATAGCTAAGAGTCAATAGTAATAGTCAATAGTCATTTCACATCCTGTGTCGGCCGTGTTAATAAAGTTATATGAACTTTGTAAACACAACCATTTAAATTAGGGACGTTTACAGACGTAAATGGTAAATACAGAAATACGTGTAGCAAATATGAACACAGTGGCAAATAACAAAATAACATAATTGGAATCTGAACACAATCTTGAATTATAAAAGAACACAACTGTTATATGAACACAGTATTAAATAAAAAAGATCACACAATTGTTATTATATATGATACTAAAAATGAAACTACCGATAGAATTATGAACACATTAACTAAATTGCATCCGCTTGTAAGATAAATGTTGGCATCTGAACACAGTTTGTGGTATCATGAACACAGTTTGTGGTACTATATACACTATATACATTGTAGAATACTTAATGTTGATAGATGAACACATCAGTAAATTAACTTAATTATGTTTGTATGTTTGTGTGTGTGTAAATGCATACTTTTTAAAATCGTTAAGTACAATGTGTAAGTATAAATCTTTAAATCATAACGAAATATATATAAACTCGTAAATATTTTCATTTGTTAAACATTGGAAACTGTCAAGTATAAACTTTTATCAAAGTTACAACATCTTAGTCACGTGATGTAGAAATCAGCAAAGCAGTGAATATTTCTAGGGAAGCACTTTAATTATTGTAAATGTTTGTTGTGTTTTGTATCCTAGCAGCAGTCTTATGTACACGTTTGTACATATTCATGTAATATTTACATATATACACTGTTTCTATTTTGTATAGTTGTCTATTTACATTGTTTCAGTGTTAAATAAATCGTTGCACAAAGTCCCGAAATGTTATTGGCTTGCGTCACGTGCCGGCGCGCGACTGGCACTTCGCAAGTGTGACGCGGCTTAATCCGCTGTCTAGCTCCGCCGAGGAAAGTAGTCCTGCTTTTGTCTCGGGGCACAATTGTGAAGTTCGTTGCTATGGCCACGACCATTCAGAGGGATTTTCTCGGATTTAAATCCTGAAACAAACAAAAACAATGAACAATTAAGAATTTGATTGATATCGATTTTGCATTCAATCGTTAATAGTAATCAGTTTTCCCAACTCGACTGAGTAAGCAATCGATCTGGGAAGTCGTATAACATTAGCTAAGGTTACATATATTTTTAAACAAAGACTAATAATGTAAACTATAGCGTGTTTTAAGTGTACTAAATTATTTAAAATCATTAAAGTTTTACTCTAAATATCTGAGATTTCACCATATGACATATAGCTGGTACATACTCCGTGATAAAGCTCTATAAAAGGCGAAGTTCAAAGCGGCTTAATATGAACTAAATACTACATGTGAACTTAAACATCTGTGCTGAGATTTCATGTCAATATCAACTCAAAAACCAAATAGAACTACCCAAGAAAAATAATAAAAAAGCAAATGGGGTCGTTTAAAGGTTAAAAAATCACTGTGTGAAAGTAAGTAGTGTGCTACTAGATTTTAATTAATTATTTATATTCTGCTGGACATTTAAGTCTTTTTTATCTTTTATGTGAAAACTCAAGGCATGAAGAAGTGGATTCGAGCACATTTACTAATGTTAAGTTTACCCATGTTGTATTGGCTATATAGGGATCGTGTTTATGATCTAGGGCTATCAAAGAATTTATTAAATGTTAAGTTTTGTCAAAGAACGCATTGAAAGGCAAACGATCTAGGGTATGATTTTGCATATCGCACCTATGATCTATAGTAAAAACCATCACGGCGAAATGAGCGAAATTGCCCGGTGAAATGTCATTTGACCGAGCGGCTTCCAAATCAAATGACCTGATGTGAATGTATAACTCTATAGGAGCTATATCACATACGGCGAATTTCTCAGGAACTCTGTCATATTTTAATTAAAGTTCAACACATTTTAAAATAATGAGATTTCGAAACTTCAGATTTGATTGATCAATGGCTAAAATGACAGCACGGTATCTTTTCAATTTCACTATCTTTGATTGTAGAATAGCTGCAGTCTACATTTGAAACATTAACGTGTTTATTATCATTTGTAGGTGATAGTAAAGTAAAGTGTATCATCTTACCTTGTTTAAATCGTTGCCTCACTGGAACCAATCTATAGTACTCAGTAGCTCTTGCTCCTCGGGGGAAAGGGGCGCTTGCTCGAACTCGTTACTGTAATTGTATCCTCCGCTAGAGTCAGACGAATATCCTGGGGATGCTTGTCCGTGGAGAGAGTCGATTGGAGAATGTTGCATTTGGCTATTAAAGGCTGCATTGATGGCGTCATTCTCATCTAGGAGCTCCTGTAGGTGTTTGATGTATTCAACGGCCGAACGTAGTGTTTCTACTTTGCTCATTTTCTTATTTTTCTGGCCCTCTGGTACGTGTTCCCTCAGAGTGTTGAATCCAAGGTTAACTAGTTTCACTCGGTTTCTCTCACGTTCGTTACGACGTGCAACTTGCTGAGGTGCAGGCTTTGGTAGATTGTATTTGTTAAAGTCAAGTCTTCTTTTGCATCTGAGCTGTTCTGGCTGGTCTGGTGCTGCGCGTTTCAGTAGTCGTTTCCCCGAACTGTTTGTGTTTGGAGTTGAGCCTGTACTTCCAGTAGATCCAGTTGGCGAAAGGGTGACAGTATGTGACATAGGGACTGTCTGCAGAAGCACTAAGTTGCAGGTTGTAAGTTGGCCACCCTCAGTTTTAATCGAATCCGCTGGACGGATTGGTACTAAGTTACAAAGAGTTGTCGTCATATTTGTTCGTCTGCCCGGCTCGCGAGTCTTAGTTACTTGAAGTGAGCGCTTTGCGTGTATGCCACCGAAACAATCGCACGCGCTTTTATACACTCACACGCCGATAATCTTTGTACACTAGCCGGCGTGAGACTTCCGACCAATCAGAGCATCGGATTATTATAAGCTCCGCCTCTACGCGCTCTTGGCGTGTCAATCAAGCCGGCGAGTCAGCTATACGCACGATAAGCGCGTGCCAGTTTGGGTTTGCAATAACCTACCAAGCAACCCGCCATTCAATAAAAGAAGCAAGCAGAAAGATCGCAAAGTAGTTTACTATTAAACATTGCATATCTCACTTTTCAAAATGTCTCATGGTACAAAAGTTATTGTTCAAGTTAGACAATGTGAGCCATTCACTCAGCTCATAGCTCGCATTCATCCTTTTCAACTTATGTGCAGACACATAAAAACTGAGAGTCACATTAAATGCTAAAAAGATTGAATTGCATTTTTTATGAATGAAACCTGTATTTTTAGTGATCAATTATTTCTTTAGCGCACCCATTGCCCAGTGGAGTATAATATTGCACGTTGAACCAAGGAGCGGGCCGATTTGCCAGAAATTAGGTTCCTATATGTAGTATTGTCCCTTTACTATGTTCCTTAAGCTATATCTATACATCTCAGTCAAATAAATAGTATAAATAATAGTTTTTCTCATTTCAATACAAGTATATTACTTTTATACTCTTGGCTAGTGCATGGTGATACGATTAATGAAACAATTTGTGATTATTTTACAAGTGCTCATAATCTTAGTGCCAAATAAAATAAAACAAAATTGATATTAAATCATTGTATGCTACTTAGAGTTGTGATTGTTAAAATCAGATTGCAGTTATTCTGTTTTGCAATGGATGTACATGAATGTTTTATTTGTTATTTGCTTATTATTGGACTTATATTTCGATGTACCTTAAATGAGTTCAAGAGATCAATAAACTTATTAAATAATTAATAATTGAAACATGGACATATATTAAAGTATTACCTTACATATACAGGAGGGAATAAACAGTCTCCATTACATTGAATCTGATATCAATGTCAACGTTGTATCGTCTTCGGGACTCAGTATATAGTATATTCGGACCATCATTTCTTGTCTATGTCTATCTGTTTTTGCTTATGAGATGATATGATATAGAAAGTGACTTACTACAGACTTTATATATAATTATAAGCTCGGATGATTTTACATGTTGCATTAATTCAAAATCCAAATAACTAGTCAGAGAGAGTAACTTCTGTTATTAGTTATTATTAAACTGATTCTACAGCTACCGTATCCTGTGTGTGTGTGTGTGTGTGATTTCATAAACTCAAAGATTGTAGACTATTGATATCTCACCCACTTTTACAAAGAGCAAACTGCCTAATCAAGATAGCACGTTGTCTTTAATATACATTTCAACAGTGGGCGACATGTGGCTTGCGTGATGGTAAGCTAATTTTTTACCAAGTTTTCTAGGTTTGCTATTTCTTGTCGTATCCAAGTTTTTGTTGTTCGAAATTAACCCCCTCCACTTCATAAGTTTGGAAACCAAAGATTTTCATCCGATGGCATTTCAAAATCTATCAATGTTTGCATGATCATGATCAGATAGTCGTTTTCCTAATTACGATAATTCGAAAATTTATGGCATTTCTTTTCTAAATCGCCAGGCTTAAAGAGTCTGTGATTAGTTATCTAAAAGGGAACCTCTGGTTGCCAAATTTGTAGAGGGGAGTGTTTGTGTAGAGCTTTTTACCTGAATATGAATATGGTGACATTTTAATTACTCGTTCCCATTTAGTTGTTGGCTAAACATAGCATAGGGAAATTCCTTATAACTAAACACGTGACATATTTGCATAAATCAGAACATAAGGGGATTCCGTATATAGTCAAGCACATGACGTATTTGAATAGTAGCAGATTAATTACTCACTATATTATATATAAATTAATTCTATTTACTCGATACACACACTCATAATGGAATTCGCGTTTCAGATACATAGTTTAAATACTTACGGCATTGTTCTGATTAATGGCAATGGATGACATGTAAATGACATGTATGTTAACAATTAATACAACAACTTGCAATTCATGGGGGGGGGGGCTTATATGCTGATTGCTGGATTTTGTATTTAAAGAGCCATCGGTACCGACCACTCTGGAAAGCCACACGGAGTTTTAAATTTGGAAACTGATGCCGTGTGACAGTGTTTAGGTTGGAGTGTAAACCATTGTACTCTCCCCTGGCTGATGGCTGACCTTCTCCCTAAGGCTCGCCTTCTCCACAAGTTACCCAGGGCTGACCTCCTCCCTCAGGCTCGCCTCCTCCACAAGTTACCCAGGGCTGACCTCCTCCCTCAGGCTTGCCTCCTCCACAAGTTACCCAGGGCTGACCTCCTCCCTCAGGCTTGCCTCCTCCACAAGTTACCCAGGGCTGACCTCCTCCCTCAGGCTTGCCTCCTCCACAAGTTACCCAGGGCTGACCTCCTCCCTCAGGCTTGCCTCCTCCACAAGTTACCCAGGGCTGACCTCCTCCCTCAGGCTCGCCTCCTCCACAAGTTACCCAGGGCTGACCTCCTCCCTCAGGCTCGCCTCCTCCACAAGTTACCCAGGGCTGACCTCCTCCCTCAGGCTTGCCTCCTCCACAAGTTACCCAGGGTTGACCTCCTCCCTCAGGCTTGCCTCCTCCACAAGTTACCCAGGGCTGACCTCCTCCCTCAGGCTCGCCTTCTCCACAAGTTACCCAGGGCTGACATCCTCACCAAGCGCTCATCTTCCACTAGAGATGATTTTCTCCTCCATGCTCCCTCCTCTCTTAGATACAGCTAATCTTCTCATCCTCCTCATCCGATCCAGATCTGACCTCCTTCCCACCCGGCCAGCTTACTCTCTTGGTTACCCATGGTGCCGGGGGGGGGGGGTGAGTGGGTGTGACTGTATTTTGAAATGCTTAAATGCACCATACACCAATTTACGCTACGACACTGTTGTGATAACATATTTGGCGAGTGAGCTAGGGGTTAGGGATGCAATAACTTGATTATAGAACGTATCTTCTAATCTAACATATACTGAATCTTGAAGCAAGGCTAATTTATTAAATACATTGTCCCTTCCACCAATCCGACCCCCTTCCTCAGTCTAAACAGCAAACGGGATGATGTAGATCAGGGAGGGGGAATACGTGATGCATACAAATTTTGTTTATAAATTATATCCCATTGATGACAGTCCCAATATTACCATCCGTTTCATCTTTCCAGCCTCCTTTAGAATTTCTGTATGAATACCTTACAATTTGCCCTCACTTTTTAATATTGATAGCTAACTGATAAGCGTGAATGGGCGACCTTCAGTTATAGTTAAATAGGTCTAGTAGAGTTAAAACGGATTTTCTCTGGAGATTCACAAAAGTTTGAATTATCTGCCTTTTTTAATGTAGAGTACGTAGAATTGACAAGTAAATGTTGGTTTTATTTCTCGGCGTTTCAATATTCATTTGTAGATTTCGGGAGTTGAAAATTTGGCCATCGTGGTATTTTGACTAGGGTTTGGTGCCGGGGGCTTGTGATAAATGCGCTCGTCAGTCGCGCTCGTTCCTCCACTACAGGTCTTTTGAAATAACGGGACTTTACACATATCTGAACACCTTCCACTCGCTGACGGTACATGTAATATGCGCAAAAAGCGAGCTATAGAGGAAGCTCAAATAAGTGCGCTCGCGATTGTGTTCGCTCAGTGACATTTCAACCCCTGGACAGTTTACTACTTGCCTATAAAAAACCACGTATCACTTCATTGAGAAAGCACAAGCGAAGGTCTGTGTGATAAACGCGACTGCGTTGTAAAAAGTGCGTTTTCTATGTCTGTGGTTACGGGAGCAGAGACGTCTACTTTAAGTAATTATACTGCATTGATAAGCACGATCACCGGCCTTGTCATCTTTGCGATATTGGCATCTCGTAGTCAGGTCAGAGTGACCAACTTTGCAAAGACCAGTGCCATCAGTGACATCTAGCAAGAATGAAAGAAGCCATCTTTACAATGTCAAGTATATCAGCGCCATCTCGTGAGTAGGTCAATGTGGCCATCTTTGCAACATCCAGTATATCAGCGCCATCTTGTGAGTAGGTCAGTAGGGCAATCTTTGCAAACCGAAAACAAATCGGGCACCCGTCTACATCGGTATCAGGCTATCAGCGCCAGCTTGTTGTCCGTTGTCAAGGTAGCCTTAGTTTCCATACCAACACATATAGGCGTCATCATGTTGAACCATCAAATATATTTCTAAAAGCTTGGTGACCACCACCCTCACAGAACTCGCCCAGGTATCGATACTGATACACCGGAGGGGGGGGGGGGGGGGTCGGCGGGGTCAGGGGGAGTGCAGACTCCATGTGAGCTCCTAGTGTCTCAGTTTCAAGATTTTAACTCATTTACTTTTTACTAATCTTGGTACGGATATGCAATGATACACATTGTAAATTATGGTCTACGTGTTTGATATCACTTTTTGAAAGATTGCTTTAATTAAAATGTGAATCAAACTAATGCTCGAAAAACACTTTATTTCAAATTTTAAGCTAAATACAAAGCATTTTTTGCAAACATGTGCCTATATATCCACTTTTATCAATGTTTCCGTACCAGTTTTCCTCTTTGACCATTCCTCATTTCTATTCATTCGCCATGGCAATTCCATCCAGCCATGCGTTTCACTTCTAAACATCCCCCACTTATCTTATTTCGCATGCCGCTTTTTATTTCTCTAATATCAGTCACGTTTCATGCTTTTATAGCAAGTAAAAAAGAACCAAAAATACATTAGATTAGAATTAGAAGTTCAAACATAGGTCGATCGTAGAAAAAAAATTATTTATGATTTTGGAAAATGTAGTATCTGATTCCACCCTGAAGGGGAACCTTTCAACAATTTGCAGGGAACTTTTTATGAATGACCTACAAATTAATAAAAAATAGACACGAGAAGGCTCGTATTCTGTTTTGAAATGAAATATTAGTATACTGAAGCTCTCTTTTTAAGACGTAGCCAACGCTACTGAATAAGGTGATTCAAAGTTGATAAGTTTACATTTTCGATGTTCATGAATCCAAAGGATGCCAACCAAGATGCCATTTGAACACTTTG